GAGCCTCTTGCCAGCCTCCCCTTCCAGCTGCCATCCATGCACTTGTCCCAGCTTCCTGGCTGTCCTGAGGCCAGGCAAGAAGGAGCAGGGCTCCAGCTACAGAAGTTATAGGAGGTGGCTCTCAGAGCCTTGATTTCCTCCACTGGAAATACTGAGAACAGTATTCTCCAGGCCTACTTTCCAAAAGCCGTTACGAAGATTACCTAGACTAATACCTGTGAAGGCTGGTGAAAGAATAAAGCAACCTAAACACACAAGGTGTTAAAAATATCCCTTCCAACTAAATAACAGATCAGTTTGTATCCCAGGCTTGCCCGACAGAGGCAGTCACAGTGGAGGGGTGGGGGCCCCGGGCCTTACCAGGTGACCTCCCATCAGTCAGGAAGACGATGACATGTGGCAATGCCCAGCACCACCTGGCTAGGATCACTTCTCCTGCCTTCCTTTCTCATTCTCCAGCCTGGGTCGGTAGCACAATCGAGAGAGCCAGCAGGCGGTCTCTCCCGGTCCACAGAGGCAGAGGAGCTGTCTGAACGTGCACAGCGGCCCCTGACAACCCGGCCCCGTATCAAGAGCTGCCCTGCATCCGGTGATCTCTGCAAATCACTGCTCACCCAGAAGGAAAACCAATTTACATTGGGTGAGTAACAGAGAATGCCAAGTTCGTGTTAGGGGATGATTCTTTTGGATGAAGGGAGGCCAGAATCCTTTTCAAATAATATTTTCTTTGTATGTGTTCCCACTGCAGAATAAGGTGCTCCTTAGGCCAGCTCTAGGCAAAATTGAGAAGCTCCGTTTCTGCTCCCTCCATCCCCACTTTTTGAAAAATAGATCTGTGAAAACTGTTACAATATCCAGACAAGATGGACAATAGTAGAACTGACATTCAATCTTCATTTTGAAGAGCAGTTAAATGGGAGTGAGATTATAACACTGTTAAAATAAGATTAATGTTATAATAAATGCTAGCATCCCAGAACAATTGAATAGAAATATAATGAACAGCCAAGGCTGGTAAGTGGAAATGTCATCAACGGCCACATAGGCAGAGTAAGTTACTACCTTTGAGGATTGAGTTGGACTGTGCATAAAATGAGAGATCCAGAATAACTGTGGCTTTGGCAAGATAGAGGTTTATTTCTTTCTTACATAAAAATCTGGACACCCTCCTCCCCTCTTTTCTCTATCTCCTCTGGAGTGGGGGCGACTTTGCTTATCTGACACACTGGACACTGGGGTGTCTGGCCTCCATTGCTCATTGCTTCTTCTTTCTTCTGGTTCCACATGGGTTTCCATTCCCCAGGATACATCTAGGTCCAAGATGACTGCTGTAGCACTGCCCATCACGCCTGTATTCCCTCTAGCAAGAAAGAGGAGTGACGAAGATGTGGCAAAGGGCAGATACCTGCTGTCTCTTAAAGAAGGTTCCCAGACGCTACAGCACACACTTTCACTTACGTCCCACGGGCTAGGCCTCGGTCGAGGGCCATACCTAGCTGTCTGTACACTGTCGGCCAGTGCTTGCAAAAAGCAAGTACTGTAGAAGAAGTGGGGAACACACTGGCCACCAGCGATGATCTCTGCCGTTTGTGTATTTTCCAGATTTCTGGGAAGTGCCTCTGCCTTCCCCTGCCTTTTCACATCTCCCAGTTCACTTGGCTGATGCCTGCATTTCTCAGTCGTTGTTAATTCTCTCACTAAGACAAAGTGAACTTTCTCATGTTGAGAGACCGTCTTGCTCCAGGTCACTTGGAGGGTTCCCGGCACTGATTTGTTCATTTCCCAATATTTCCCCAGCCCAGTTGGGCTGGTTTCTGGGTGATTCACCTCCAAGATAGCTTTTTTTTTTTTTCTGTTGTCCACACTCTCAGAGGACATTAGCTAGTCGAGCAGACAACATTCTCCAAGGCTCACTGTATGCTGGCTCTGACACTTAGTTTCATATTCTTATTCTCACTTAGTCTCCAGTACAGCCCTAAGAGATGATTGCTCTTCCTAGAAATTAGGATTGAAGTTGTGGTTCACACCAGTGTGACCACATGCCCTATCCCTGCTGCCAGTCATTGTGCTGCACTGCCTTTCCTGTATCCTGTATGATCTCCGTCACCACCCCCACCTGATAGGTTAGGGAAGAAGGTGAGTAAGTATCCATGATAGGCCAGACGCAGTGCTGAGTCCTGGGGAGAAGGCACATTTCCCTAGGTCCTAGTTCTCAAGATGTGTGTGTAGAGCAGAGAGGAGGGGAGCTGGAGGAAGCAAAACGCAATTCCCATATGATATAAGGCCAACTGGGATGTCCCCTAAGAAGTGAAAGTATACCCTTTCACTGCAGGTGTTCAGGAGATGTAAGGTTGAGACATCTGAAGGGCAGCATGAAACGAGTCAACTACTCTGCCCCAGCTACTCCTCCTTTCCTGTGGCTTGGCTGGAGGGCTTCACCAGTCCATACCCAGTCGAGTTAAGTTCCTTACTGTGTGAGCCAGGGTCAGCTGGGCCCCTGCCATAGAGGATCTGGTCAAATTTGACTGGAATTCTCATTCCATGGCCTTGGCAGAACTCAGAGTCCTTCCTGCAATTTCTTTTCCTTAATGCTTTCTTCCTTCAGCCTCCCTTCACCTCAGTGCCTGAATGTCACCTTCCTAGTCCATGCCATTATTTTCATGGAAGGTCATTCTCAAGCCGGCTCTCAGTTTAGCAGCTTTATCGGAGAATCATTCTCCAAGATAGAACCCCCTCCTAGGAATCCCCCTAGTCTTCGATTAGGCCCACGCTTTTTGCCTTTTTTCTCCCTCCTCTGGGATAACTTCATCTTTATGTCTAACACATGATTCCTCAACATTTGTGATTTTTATACCCAACCAATTTATGAAAGTATTTTCCTCACCAAAATCTGATTTCTCATGCTATAAGAGATCCTGGAGAATTAAGTCTTTTTCTCTTGTTACTCTTGATGTTTTGGTGACTGTATTGGTGCAGCAGAAGTTAATCTAAATCTCCAGGTCAAAAACCAATGCCATGATCTTTTGAAAGTGGTGATGAGAAATCCTGGTCCCTCATGTGGGTCTGGGAGGCAGGGCCTTGGGATTATGGTGAGGTCACTGGGAGGTCCTAAAGCAATGGGACTGGCTACTTGTCAGATGTGGCTGTTGCTAACAATTGTGAAGATGGTTGTAATGAAAACGCCTGCTCCACAGAGTATGAGTTGGGCCATGGATGGAAGCCCTAGAGACACCTAGTGCTCACCACATCCGGGTATTCATTCCTGAGCACATGGAGAGACTCAAGTTGCCCTGAAAGTAGTTCAAGGTCATCTAACCAGCACTGCCCAGTGGACTTTGAGTAAAGAGGCATATCATTTGTGTTCTGAGGCACTTAAGAGTCTCCCATGCTCTCTCTTCCCCTGGGAGCCTGGTGTTGAAATGATAGCAGTGCAGAATGGAAAGACCTTCGATCTCTAAGACACCAGATGGAAGAGAGCCCTGCTGACCTGCACCAGACTTTGCATGAGCAAGATACAGGCTTCTATAAGGCTGAGCCCCTGCAACTTTGGCCTTTATTTGTTACTATAGCATAGCATAGTGTGTCCCAGCAAACACAGATCATATGGAAATTTATACGGTTTTATTCAGCTCTGCCACTGGAGTATTTCTGGATATTTTGTAGCTTCCAAAGTTTTGCTGGTCAGAGGATGTTTTGGAAGAAGAAAGATGATTTTTTTCTTCTGTATTCTTCACTTATTTCTGTTGTTTTTTTCTTAAGTGGTCATCATTTCGAAGAGACCAGGTAATAAGGTGACAGGTACTGAAATAGAAAGACCCACAGACTAAATTGGAGAGAAGCATTTGGTAGGAAGGTTCGCAAAAAGCCCCTTAAGCCTCTGCTTGCCTAATTGATATGCTGTTCTGGAACAACTCAGCCTGACACAGGTGCTCCCGCAGGTTAGTTAAAAGGAGAGAGCAGTGCAGAATCCATATGCTACCATTCCGCCTTTCAAAGCAGTGGAGAATCTGAGGCTCTGTCTCCATTAGTAATCACCAGACATAACAAACACATATCACACCAGGCACAAAAATCCCTGGAAGATACTCGGTGTCCATTCTGCTCTACTGTGAATCTGTTCTTAATCTTGGCAAAATGGGACTAGCGGTTGGAGAAGGAGAAGGGAAGGGAAGGAAACCCCCAATAAGATTCGGATAGCAGAGAATTAACATCATATTCTACTCTTGGAAGCTTAGTGTCGACACAGTGCCTAATAAAGCATAAAGTGAATATTTATTGATCTAATGGTGACCGTGAGTTAAGAGAGTGAACATATCAGTTATCATTGGAGATTCTGGCCATGAAGAGAGGTGGTCAGTATCATCTAATGCAGCTCACCGCCTGGCACACACATGGCGAGATCTGGGGCAGCTAAGCCTGCATATGTTGTGTGTAGTTTAATCCTCTGTTCCATATTCTCTGATCCAGTTCCCACGGGCATGGACATTCCAGTCACAGAACAGCAGCTCTACGTCATGGAGGCTCCTGAAGAACCCAAGCTACCCATGAAAATGCAAGTGAAAAGTCCTGCTCTGGTGTATGACTGGCGCTGCTTCTAGAAAACCTCTTTATTAGAAGGCAGCATGAAACCAGCATTGGGATATAAGGGGCTATCCTTTGTTAAAAGAAAACCTCTTTCTAATACTCCTAAACAAAGAGCCAGAGGTCCTGTCTAACTAAATGCCACCTTTCTCTGATTCTTGGGGCTTCGTCTTCAAAGACCAAGAGGATCCTCCTTCAGCTGAAACCTCTCAGAAAGGGAAAGGTTGGTCATGACTTGCTCCCCCAACAGGGAGCTTCAGGCACTGCCAACTGCGTTCATTAACCCATCTCTGACAGGTGAATAAGTGAGAGCTCCTGGAACTAAGATGCCAATTCTCCATGTTGCTGGTTTGCCAGCGTTTACCTCTCTTATTGGTAAAGGAGAGAATCAGCAAAGAAATCTTTCCTTTTCTTTCCAGGATGATCTTCAGGAAGATTCCTGCTAGTTTATCTCAGAAGAACAGCAGCCTGTGCATGAGCCTGTACCCCTTGAGAATTTCCTCTTCCTTCGGCAGTATCTTGAAATGGCCACATTTTCCATATCTATGACTTCCTATCAGCTTTTCAAATGCTCCACTACAAACTAAAGTTATTCTGGCATTGACAATGTGATCTCAGGATTTCCACAACTAGCTTTCCTCAAGATGAATATTGGGATGAGTTCGGCAGCAGACTGTGTGATAAGGAGCGCCGGCATGGGAGTCAGAAAGTGTTGTGAACCCTATTGAAGTGACATCACCTGTCTCAACCTCATTGTCATCAGCTGTAAGTGAGAGAGTGAATGAAGAATGCTTCCAGCTGTTAAATACTGTAAGTCAAGAGAACCTGTGCTCCAGAGGAGAACGTGTATATTGACAAAAAGGTATTTATACATCCTTCGCCATACCTTTGTAGATGAGTCTGAAAGAATTTTGAATTCACCTAGCAATTGCACTATCTTGATTTCATATGGAAAACAAATTTTCAAGAAGTTAACCACAAGGCTTGCACACTGGCTGGTTTCCAGCCTTCGCCTCACAGAGTAGATTAACTAATCCAGACAATTACTGTCAAGCAAATGAACAGGTTGGGAATTCTTAGAGGATTCTTTTTTTTTTTTTTTTTTTTTTTTTGTCTGTTACAGCTTATGTAGTTAATTTGAGAGACCTCAAATGGAATGGTTTTCATGAATAATTTAAGTAACTATTCTATTTATCTAGTGCTGGTTGGGTAAAAATTTATAAAAAATATGAAAGTTGGGTCAACTGACCAGTTTGAAGGAGAAACATGATTCTAGCTTTCTTTTACTTTCTTTTTTCCCTAGGACCATAGCAATTAGAAGAATTGCATGAGTGTGAGCAAATAAGTCACCCAATCCCAAACCAAAATTAATTGAAAAGCAAATCATCACAACACCCCCACCTCAAATTGAGGGTTATTGGGAAGCGGTGTGTATACATAGCACATCTTATAAAATGAAATAGGCAGGATATAAACTTTCTGAAAACAAAATCCCTCAGTTAGGACCTTCTCCATGTGTGTGTCATTACCTTGATAAAATTAAGACTTGACCAGTGGCTCAATAAATTTGGAGAAAATAGAAACAATTAGGTTCTCACCTCAGAACAATAATTTTTAAATTTTCTTTTATATTTTCAGATTTATGGTCTTAGTGCAGGCTAGGTATTGCATTTTGACAATGAAATCTGAAACAGCTACAATTCTAGATTTTGTAAATTCTTTCTGACCATAGCATGGCTTAGTTTAAACTATGATTGCTGTCTCATTGGTCAAACTGTTTGGGCAGAAAGTACATTTTATTGAGAGGTCAGTTCCAAAAGGCATGTTTTGAAGATCTTTTTCAAATGTTCAAATTATGGATAGCTTAGTTTATACCCTTTACCCTAAAATGAAAATTCTGGCATTCTCATTAGCCTTTTCACAAAGCAAGTCTTTAAAGCTTCCCCAACACATGTGAAAACCAAATTTTATGAGGATTCAAGACCAGCCGGGAAACTTTAGCAAAGACTAGATTTCAGAACAGCAGATCTTTAGTTGTGCAAAGGACATTGCTAAACTTCTGGGTTGGAAGGTATCCTGATATACCTAATTCTATTTATGAAACTGCATATGTGCTTTGAAACTCCGTTTAGATCCAGCTCTTTCAGCTAGAGATGGAAACCATATGTGTGTCTAAGGCCCTTATGTTTTGCCTTGGAGAGTCTTAGATTTTGTTTTGATTTCCAACTTGGCATCGTTTTCAGATTGGGAGGCATCCTGGGTATGTCCTTGACCCTCTGTGTCATGCAGCAACATTTTCGTTAGCCATTATTACTCTTCTTAGATGAGTCCCATGGCCATATGCTCAGAAAGGTGTTGTGCCTTTCATTCTCAAAAAGTTGTTCTAAGCAAAACAGAGATCTGAAGAAAATATGTGGAACATTCAGGCTCACAGTCTTGTACATAGGTAAAATAGTTTTTTGTTTATCGTTTATTTGAATTAATCAGGTCTTCTTTTCCCCTTTATTCCTTATTTCTCTTATGGAAACTGGACTAAAGTTTCTGCTGCACTGTGAACCCAAGAACTGTGAACACATCCCAGTGGGCAGACAGCTGGCTGCCTACCAAATCTATCTTCCCATTCTTTCAACGGAATGGTCTAGCCCAATATGTGACCTCTCAGTTGGAGACTATGTTTCAAGAGTCCCTTGCTGGCGAGTGTCTGAGCCCCTTCCAGTGGAATGTGAGCAGAAGGGATGGGAGACGTTTCTAGGCCCAGCGTCTGACACAACCTTCCCTGTGGTTGCTGCTGAACTGCAGAGCAGCTGAGGACCGACTGGCTTTGAGCATGCAGATGCAGGACTACTGTATGAGAGATGAAAAAACTGCTTTGTCCTTGAAATGAACTCTTCCTCTAAAATCGTATGTAAACCTTGGGGCTCATGCATAAGAATTAAAGAGAAAGAAGAAAAGAAATCCCTTTTTGTTTCCTTGCATGGAACAGAGACATGGAGGAGTTTGGTGTCTTAGTAAGTAGTTGGGTTTGGCTGAAGTGCGTGTGTGTGTGTGTGTGTGTGTTGGGGGCTGGGACCCAGGATGAGGGGTTGTAGAGTACAGGAGGCTTTTTTTGTTTTGTTTTGAGATGGAGTCTTACTCTGTCACCCAGGCTGGAGTGCAGTGGCACTGTCTCGGCTCACTGCAACCTCCGCCTCCTGGGTTCAAGTGATTCTGCTGCCTCAGCCTCCTGAGTAGCTGGGATTACAGGTGTGCACCACCATGCCTGGCTAATTTTTATATTTTTAATAGAGACAGGGTTCCACCATGTTGGTCAGGCTGGTCTTGAACTCTTGACCTCATGATCCACCCACCTCAGCCTCTCAAAGTGCTGGGATTAGAGGTGTGAGCCACCATGCCCGGCCTCTTTTTTTAATTTTAATTTTTTTTTGACACAGGGTCTCACTCTGTCACCCTGTTTGGAGCACAGTGTTTTGATCACAGCTCACTGCAGCCTCAACCTCCCTGGCTCAAGCAATCCTCCAACCTCAAACACCTGAGTAGCTGGGACCACAAGTGTGTACCACCATGCCTAGCTAATTTTTTTTTTTTTTTAAATTTTTGGTAGAGACAGAATCTCTCTGTTGCCCAGGCTGGTCTTGAACTCCTGGGCTCAAGCTATCATCCTGCCTCAGCCTCTCAAAATGCTAGGATTATAAGTGTGAGTCATTTCACCCAGCTGACAGACCTCTTAGTGAGCACAACAAGGGCAAGTGCTGGGGTCAGATTCCCAAGGTGGACCTACATTTGAGGGATGGTCGTGGTCAGAGAAAGTGTAAGGCAGCGAAAGAGTCCAGGAAAATAATTAAGAAGTTGCAGACGCTAGAGAAAATGGTACCAGGAAGCCAAGGAAGAAGTTTCCAAGTGACACAGATATTTGCTACTCCATTTTCTTTTTGAAATGAGAATAATGCTTATTTTTCTTCTGTAAGAGATTTTTCTTCTGAAATAAAAAGTTTTCAAAGGGAATTCAATGAAAACAATTAACTGATTTATTCTTTGGTCCTCGGGCGTGGTTTAGATCAGTAAATATCCATATCATGTGCCCAGTGCTACCTGTGACTGTCTAGCTGCTCCAAATACTTGCTCTCCCTCTTTGAACAGTACTTTTTCCAAGCTGCTTTAAAGTTCTAACTTTTTAGCAATAATTTAAGTGGCTTTATTATTGTTGAGGAGAAGATGGTAAAGTATCAGAGAGATAAGAGAAACCGGATCTATAGAGTCAAAGAAAAGAGAAGCAAAGGAAAAATTATTTGGATGATTTAACATGAGTTCCAATTTTTTAAAATTAGATGAAATATTTTAGACTGGGGCAATTGAGAAAATTGTTTCAAGACTTCAGAATTTATGGGTTAGGATGTGCAGGAATGAGGCCTGTGTTTCTCCAACTTGTCCTGTCTTATTTGACCAAAAGCATCATGGTGAAAGGTGCAGATTTGAAAATCAGGTGCCCTGGAGTCACAGCCCTGCTCAGTCACTCATTAGCTGTGTGACTTCAGTCAAGCTAGTCAGCTTCTCTGTGCTGCTATCTCTTCATCTGCAAAATAGAGATAATGACAGAATCCGCCCAGGTGCTCCCCAAGGTGGAGTGTGGACAAATGGATCTATCTGTCTGAGTTGCTCATCTTTTTTTTTTTTTTTTTTTTTTTAGTTTTTTTTTTTTTTTTTTTTTTTTTTTTTTTTTTTTTTTTTTTTTTTTTTTTTTTTTTTTTTTTTTTTTTTTTTTTTTTTTTTTTTTTTTTTTTTTTGATGGAGTCTTGCTCTGTAGCCCAGGCTGGAGTGGAGTGGCATGATCTTGGCTCATTACAACCTCTGCCTCCCGGATCCCAGTTCAAGCAATTCTCCTACCTCAGCCTCCCAAGTAGCTGGCATTACACGAACGAGCCACCATGCCCAGCTAATTTTTGTATTTTTTTTTTTAGTAGAGACGGGGTTTCACCATGTTGGCCAGTCTGGTCTTGAACTCCTGACCTCATGATCCGCCCGCCTCAGCCCCCCAAAGTTCTGGGATTACAGGTGTGAGCCACTGAGCCTGGCTGAGCTGCTTGTCTTAGAAAGGGATCCCAGATAGCAGGAGAGAGAGTTAGGGGAGGTGGGACAGGGACAGAGGGAGGGCCAACCAAAGGATGTGTGTTAAGATGGCCACTGCTGTGGGTGATAGATTGCTCCAATGTTAAGGACTTAATCTGTTTTGTGAAGACACTGCATATGGCACCAGGCTATTCACTTTAATCAATCTTTCATAACATCCTCACTGTCCCTGTCACATCTTCTGTCATGTCTGCATGTCTCTTTCTTCTTTCTTTCTTTCCATCTTTCCTTCCTTCCTTCCTTTATTCTTTCTTTCTTCTTTCTCTTCTTTCTTTCTCTCCCTCTCTCCCTCCCTCCCTCCTTCCTTCCTTCCTTCCTTCCTCTTTCTTTCTCTCTCTCTCTTTCTTTCTTTCCCTTTCTTTCTTTCTTTCTTTCTTTCTTTCTTTCTTTCTTTCTTTCTTTCTTTCTTTCTTTCTTTCTCTTTCTTTCTTTCTTTCTTCTTTCTTTCTTTCTCTCTCTCTCTCTCTCTTTTTCTTTCTTTCTTCTTTTTCTTTCTTTCTTTCTCTTTCTCTGTCACTCAGGCTGGAGTGCAGTGGCACAATCTTAGCTTACTGCAGCCTTGAACTGCTGGGCCCAAGCCATCCTCCCAGCGCAGCCTCCCAAGTAGCTGCAACAGTACTTCGGGCTGCAAGCTTGCACCACCCCTGCCTCACTCATTTATTTTATTTTGTTTTTTGTAGAGATGTGAGCTCCTTATGTTGCCCAGGTTGGTCTCAAATTCCTGGCCTCAAGTTACCCTCCCTTCTCAGCCTCCCAAAGTGCTGGGATTACAGATGCGAATGAGCCACTGCACTGGGTCATTTCCCCTTTTTTTTGCCGTATGTCATTACTTAATTTGTCCTATCTTCAAGGAACCATCAAAAGCAGGTGTGGGAACTCACAAGTGATTGCCTATGTCAACAATTCCTCCCCAACCAGCCCTACATCCTGATTGCCCTGCGCCTCTGTGTTCTGGTTTCTGCTGGTACATATCCACCAAGTCCTGCCATCCTTTCAGTGCATGAGTCATTTCCACTCACATCAAGGACTTTATTCTCTCACACAGGCTCTGCTGAGGCAAAGGGGATGGGGTGGGAAGACAGGCATGGTTGTCTGAGAAGCACGTTCTAGGTGAGATGTCCGCAGGTTTCCAGGTGGGGAAGGCTTCTCTCTTGCATCAGAGAGCAGGGCATTGCTTGTGCCAGCACAGAGAGTTTAACGGATCTGACGTTCAAGATTCTCAGACTCAGCTCATTCACCAGCCTCCCTGGCCTCTGCAAGGTCTGAGGGACCTATGCTTTCCTATGAGTGCCCTGATTTCCACACAGCAGGCCCGTCCTGCCTGTGCACGCAGTCTCTATGCACTTCTGCCTCTCTTCATAAGACCTTGACTGTGATTTTGAGTCCACACTGAGGTGAGAGTTGACTCATCTGAGCCTGTCATTTTCTTTTTTTATTACTACCTCGTATTCAAATGTATTTTATCTTTTAAATTGATAGAATTTTCAGGATAATTTTACATTTACAGGAAAAATGAAAGTATAGAGAGTTCCCATGTACCCCTCCCTTCACCCCCATGCACAGTTCTTTTATTATTAATGTCTTGCATTAGAGGGGCACATTCGTTACAACTGAATGAGCCAATATTGATACATTGTTAGGAACTGAAGTCCGTACTTTACATCAGGGTTCAAGGTTGGTGTTGCTCATTTTATGGGTGTGATACATGCAGAATGAATGACATGTGTTGATTCCTTTTAAACGATTGTCACTAACCTGATGCTTCACCATCACATGTCCCCCATCCTAATCAATCACAGACAAGAGTCCGAGGGACTGACTGTACAAACCCACTCACCACAGCAGTGGCATCTTTATGGCCATCTGATTGATTGGTCAGTGCCCAGCTCTAGTATTTTATTCCGAGCATACTCCTTTCACCAATCACCGTAGTCTCTTAGGGCTGCCATTCAAAATATCACAGACTGGGTGGCTTGAACAACAGGCATGTACTTCTGACCATTCTGGAGGCTGGAGATCCAAGACCAAGGAGCTGCCAGGGGTGATGGGTTTCTTGGTTTCCTGTGACAGCTGCCTTCTCACTGTGTCCTCATATGAACTCTTCTTTGTGTGCCTGTATGTGGGAGGGGGAGAGAGAGAGAGAAAGAGAGAGAGAGAGAGAGAGTAGTTCACCTTCTGAAGTCTTTTTTTATAAGAACACCAATCCTATCAGATTGGGGGTCCCACCCCTATGCCCTCATTTCACCTTAATTACCCCGTAAAGGCCCCATCTCTATATGCAGTCGCCTTGAAGGTTAAGACTTGAATACCTGAATTTTGGGGTGACATAAACATTCATTCCATAAAGCCAACTATCCTAGCTTAGATCCCCTGAAAGCAGAGGATGAGACAAAGGTTAACATGTGAGTAGTTTATGGGAATGAGATCTTAGGGCACAGAAGGGAAGAGCTGGGAGGGAGAAACCTGGAGGGTGGGAGGGACTAACTGAGGTGACCACAGTGCATGGCTGGGCTGCTTGCTGCCCGGGACCTTAAGACACATGCCTCAGAAATGTGTCTTGGATGGGCAATACCCTTGCACTTCCCAGTTGCACATGTGGGAGTGCTGAGCAGGATTCTGTGGGTTCACCTGTGACACCAGGGAATCCCCGGGGAAGGAGGTAAGAAGTGCAAGGAGCAGTCATGAAGCAGAGCCTGTCTCGAAGGGCTGCACCCGTGCAGAAATGCATGCAGTCTATCGGAGCTGATCACGCAGCAGTGGTTGGAACAAGACAGGAGGTTGTGAGGATTGGAGGTAGGAATGCACAGAGGGTTGGTGTGCAACTCATTTTG